GGAGGACCTGGAACAGTTGTTGTCGGGGCTCCGATTCGGCCGCGGAGGGAGAGGTGGGGCTGGCAGCCTCGCGTGGGGAGCCGGAAGCACCCCGTCCCAGGGTCAGGTGCAGCCCGCGCACTGGTCTCCGCCCGTGGCCGCCTCCCACGGCCCGGGTCTGGCGCGGGCGGAGGCGGGGCTGCGCTGCGGGTGCGGACCGAGGCTCAAGTCCCAGGCTGACGCCCCTCTGCGCGCGGCAGTCGCCACGGCTCCTGCCCGTAGACTTTCCTGGGCCTCTCTGGTCCTTGGAAGGTTGGGAAAGGCGACTGGGCGCTGCAGTCACCCCCAGAGGAGTAGGGCTGTTTATTATCAGTTGCTTGCCTTTGGAAAGTTTGTTATTGTTTCTTTTCCTCTGTCGGATGGTTTTGGGCTCTCTGATTTTTAGTTCTCCAGAGGCCCGCCTTTAGGGAGGGCACCTGAGAGGCCTCCTCGAGTTTGCATGCTTATCAAAGTCAAGCACTCTGCACTAGTTCCCACGTAACCCGTGGTTTCAGTTACCCTTGGCCCCAAAATATTAAATGGAGCGTTCCAGAAATAAACTTCTTAAGTTTTAAATCATTCACTGTTCTGAGTAGTGTGATGAAATCTTGAGCAGTCCCTCTCTGTCCAGTTCTGGATGTGAATCACCCCTTTTTACAGTGTACGTGTTTTTATGATAAAGGTAGATCACTGGCGTATCTTTTGCTAGAATTGTATAGTTTGGTTTTAAGTTGAGACAATTCTCTGGTTAACTTAAGAGACCTACCCATCCCTTTCATATGATGGTTTTCTACTCTGTTACCATAATTTTGTGTGTTCTGGTCATGAATATTTATCTAAAAACCCCGTGTTTAGAACAGGTGCTTCAGCCTTGATCTGATAAAATATCAGAAGGCTTGAGTTATGTTGGCTAAGTGCTCTCTTATTCAAAGTGGATTAAATTTTTAAATAAATTATTTGATGATATCTTTAGTTTATATTTTGGGTTCTTTTTAGAACAGCCTGCTACTTTAGCCATCTCAAGTTTTTATTTGTATTCTTATTTATCAATTTAAATTTGCACTACCAATTAAATTTATCAACTAATTTAAATTAAAAAGTATGTACGTGCCAAAACAGTTTACACAATACAAAAGTAAGCCTTCCACCTCTGGTTGCTAGTCACACAGTTCTGGTCCCCAAAGGTACATACTAATTGCCAGTGTCTTATATATTTTTCCTGAGATATTCTGTTCCTATAAAACTTATATAGGTATATATTCATTTTTGGTTGTGACTTACACCTTGTATCTTTGAGTTAGAATTAAATATTTAATTACTACTTAATTAAGAATTAAATATGTGTTTGGTGATTATGTCATTAAAGTTCAGTACAGGATATAGAAATCACTATATATTTGAAGCAGGAAAGGATTTAACTCAGCCATTTATATTTTAGGCTGTTCCTCTTGGAATGACTTGTGGAACAATACAGAACTGGTCCATTAGGGGCCACAACCTGTGAGGCTGCCATTTGAACTGATGCAGCCCTAATAGTCATTGAGTACCAGGCATGTAGAAAATGGAAGCTGCTATCTGGATTTAGGGTGCTCGATCAAGAAGTAGCTGCTACAACCACTGTTTCTTAATACCTAGGAAGCGTCAAGAAATCAGCTTCTTAACTAGCAGCGAAAGCTAGAAGTCACAGTAAAGTGGTTTCTGCCTCATTTCCACTTTGCAGATTTCTTGCAAATGCATTTAGTGGTGGAATCCAATTCACATCTAGAATCCTAGCAACTAGGTAGAATGGTAGGAAATGATAGGTAGAATAGGTGGAAAATACAATTTTAAGCTTTCTAACCTCTGCAAGTAGAAGAGGGTGAAACACAGGTTGAGAGTACTAATGAAGACATTGTAATGCAATTAATTGCTCACCACTTTAAAATGGGGATTGAATTGAGTGGGCCAAAAAAATTAAATTGTGCTAACATTTGCTCAACTTTCTGATTGTTTTTTCATTAGGACTGGGCCGAGCCTATGCTCTGGCTTTTGCAGAAAGAGGTGCATCAGTTGTTGGTAAGTTGGTATTTTTTTCTTTTTAATCAGTAGCTAGTAGCTAAAGTACTATAGTCTTCACAAGCCATCCATGTTTGTCTTCACATCAAATAATTTGTCAAGGTCAAATTTATTACTGATTTTTTATTCTGCCAGCAAGAATTTTTTCCCCCTTGAGGCTGACTTTATAACTTACTTTTTAAAGAAATTATTGCATTTGGTATATTGTGGGTTTTAATTTTTTGAGATACAAGGCTCATGCAAGATAAATCTCTCAGTGTAAATATATTGGTAACAGTAAGAAATAAATGCATTTTGAGAACTGGCAGTTTAGAGTGAGGAATCCAAAGTATTTTTTTTAAATCTCTTATATCAAAAATTTTCAAATGGAAGCTTTTTACAACAGTTTTTTAAGTTTCTAATTGAAGGGTTAGTTGCTTGAGTTTTATTATGAAGGGTGAATTGGAAGGTTCTGCATTGAAGGACCTCAAAGGTTTTCATAATCTAAATGGTTTGGACTGGCCTGATGTACTTGGTGGTTGGTGGGGATACAGGAGCAGATTTGTCTATAGCCAATTCTTTGTGGGGAATAACTGAATGAGTGCTCAGTGCAGGGTAGGTGGGTAGGGTAGATGTTATAGCCCAATATTTATTAGTGTTTTTTCTGGGATAAAATTGTTGGCCCATGATGACTTCCCAACCCCAGTTTTCCTATATCTTATTAGGGAATACATAGAGACAAATTTCCCTTAATTTGTTTATGGAGACATAATAAAAGAGCAAGCAACCAAATTTTGGCATTAAATATACTTTTCTTCCTCAGTGGGAATGTGTAACTTATCTTTGTGGAAAGGACACAGAGACTTTGAGTGTTTCTTGTTTAAGGTCATAGCCCATGTCTGTTAATCCAGTCAGTGTGCTTCTTGTGGCAAGGACACATTTTGACATTGTTATATTTGGCTAGGGGATGTATGGTTAGGTCCTCTTTGCCAGATTTTCCGAAGAATATTTAATGTCATGGCCTTATGAAACATATTGTTACTGGTTTTGTTTTCCTTTTTTTTTATATTGCAGTTTATTTCTTAATATTTTTACCTTATAATTATTTATTTTCATCTTTTCCATTGAATTCTCTAAGTGCAAGGACCTTGTTTTATCTTCTGTATCTTGTAAAGGACCAAGAATATTGCTTTTGGCAAAGAAGGTACTTTGTTCATTGGTTCCTTTAATTGTTTGATATAGATTTTTTTAGGGGGGCAGGGGCTGGTGTGTCTTTGAGATTGGTTGAATAAATTTCTATTTTTCTTTTTGTTATGACTAAGATATAATTTTAGGTTATAAACTTGTTTTATGAAAAGTTTATAGCAACATGTTTTTGTGGGGATCAGTTTTCCTGTATTTGTGACCTTCATTAAATTCTGATTAGGAGTTTTTGAGTTCTAAGAAAAAGGTAAACAGGGACATTGCGTCTCTTTATTTTATCATTGCCTTAGAGATGGTATTGCAGCAGGTGCTGGTGAATGTCCAAGAAGGTAGAAATTTGTGTCTTGGAAAAATATTTACCAAACTTGGCTGAGGGAGCCAGATTTAGTTTAGTTTAGGGGAGAAGTCAATCTACGTGAAACTTCTGGTTATTGATTTGTACTGCTTTTTAGTCTGACCTAACTGTAAACTTCCTAGGCCCTGAATGGGTTGAGCTGTTTCCTAACCATCACTACTCTCTACTTCAGCTTTTTAAAACATAGATACCTTGCTTCTAGATTGCATCACATACTCTAACATTTCTCCTGTAAATTTTTGTTCTGCTCAGCAATTTTTTTTTTTTTACCTGAGTAAGCAAAATATAGTAAAGAGGAATAAACAAACCTAGGATGTTATGACATCAGAGGATCTTGTTTGTGGAAAAGTGATTAATCAGAAAAATCGATAACTAGCTCAGAGGCCAGTAAGAAGTAAAATGTTAATTTTTGCTAGCTTATGCTGGCTTAAAAAACACATTTAAATATTTTACAATAATAAAGGCTTATTTCATGCCATGTGACCTTTCACTTTGTATTCAGTTATCTATCTACTCTGTGTGTCTTCCTAATTTCAGGATCCCAGTTGAAGGAGTAGATTCTGTCTGGGACATTGCTATTCTTGGGACAGAGGGAAAACAACAGTGGAGCCACTGGTGGCTCTGAAAGCTGTTCAGAAGTGGCATGCCACTTCCACTCACATTTCATTGGCCAAAGAAAATCACTTAGCCAACCCCAAAGTTAAGGGCATCACTTTAGATATTCTCCAACTTCATGTTAATATGATTGCTATGTTTTATATTCTATATGTAAACCATTATGGGAGATTTAAATCTGGGTGTAAGAACTCCTAAGCTTTAGCCGGATGTTGTAACGAGGGACATTTGGTTTTGTATAAATGACATATTTTAGAAAGTGTTTGCACAAATCTGTAGAAAATACTGGAAATGGAATAGTTTTGAGGTTTCCTCAGTAGGCGAGCCATACTGTTTTCTGAAACAAAGTTTTATCGTGAGGGCAGGAACACAATGATTGAAGTATTTCAGAGAGAAGAACGTTTTCTTTGACAGTAGGAAAGGCAGGAAGTTCTCTGTTCTTGAACTGGAGAAGTAACACCTTTGAGTAACTGAAGTTACAGTTTTTATGTTGTTTTTTTAAAAATTTATCTTTATTGTTGAAAGTATTACAGATATCCCCCCTTTTTTTCCTCATTGATCCCCGCCACCCCACATACGAGAGCCCCCAGGCCTTCACCACCCTATTATCTGTGTCCATTGGTTATGCATATATGCATATAAATTCTTTGATTAATCTCTCCCCACCCACTCTCCCACCCCTGCCTTCCCACTGAGATCCATCAGTCTGTTCCATGCTTCTGTGTCTCTGGATCTGTTTTGTTCCTCAGTCTATTTTGTTTGTTAGATTCTACATATGAGTGAGATCATGTGAAACTGAATCAGGAAGAATCAGAAAGCCTGAATAGGCTAATAACAACTGATGAAATTGAAGCAGTAATAAAAAAACTGGCAGTGAACAAAAAAGCCCTGGTCCGGACGGGCTTCACAGGGGAGCTTTCTAATTCTTGAAGTTGTAGGGTTAGATAGTTTACTAAAAATTTTTCTTGCTTTTTGAGGTAGGCCTGCAGTGCTATGAACTTCTTCCCTCTTAAGACTGCTTTCACTGTGACCCATAGATTTGGGATTGTTGTGTGTTCATTTCCTCTTGTTTTCAGGAAGTTTTTGATTTCTTTCTTGATCTTATTGGTAACCCATTCATTGTTTAATAATATGTTATTTAGCCTCCATGTGTTTGGATGTTTTTGAGTGTTTTTACTGTAGTTGATTTATAATTTCATGCCCTTGTGATCTGAGATGCTTGATATTTCAGTCTTCTTGAACTTGTAGAGACTTGTTTTGTGTCGTAATGTGTGGTGTCTTTGAGAATGACCCATGTGCACTTGAGAGGAAAGTATATTCTGCAGCTTTGGGGTGAAATGTTATGTAAATATCAATTAAGTCCATCTGATCTAGTGTGCCATTTAGAGTCACAGTTTCTGTGTTGACTTTTTGTCTGGAAGATCTATCCAGTGAAGTCAGTGGGGTGTTAAAGTCCATGATTGTATTACTGTTGATCTCTCCCTTAAAGTCCTTAAGGTTATTATTGATAGATCCTTATTTATTGCCCTTTTAATTCTTTATGCCATGTTTCTCTATTTCTTCTTCTTATTACAGTAGTCCCTTTAACATTTCCTGCAATGCTGGTTTGGTGATGATAAACTCCTTTAGCCTTTTTTTTTTTTTTT